GGGGGGGGTGTAGGTTTTTAAGCATGGTTACAATCCGGACGGCGGGAGCCCAGTCCGGACTGTCCGCGTCTGGATGTCCGGGCGGACGTCCGGTCCGGTAGGTCTGGAACATTTTTTTATTTTATTTTTTGGTTGTTGTTGTTCAAAGCCATAAAGATGATAAATGGTGAGGGATGAGAGCAAGGCAGAAGGGAAGGGGGGAACTGGGGAGGCACTTGAGACTTGCAGGATGCAGAACACTTTTGAGCCCTATTCCCACTCCTCTACCCATATCTTGCACTCCCAGTGAAGTGTGTTGACGCACCACAAGCGACCTCTGGGCACAAAGGCACGTGGAATCAAACTGGTGTTACGATTCACAACACCCAAATATTTTAACTGCAGTAAACCCTTTTTTTTTCTTTTTTTCTTTTTCTTTTTTTTAACTGCAAGAAACCCTAAACCCAAACGAAAAACTTTTCGATGGCAATAAATCTGATCTGGACGACTTTGTGACTTCACTTGGAAGTAAGAATACTATTTCTCTCCGTTTTTGTTTATTGCTGTGCTTCGGGTTCTCGTAGTGTGGGCACGCTCCCAGCATCACATCTGTTGTTGTCATTCTTTTGCGGCTCGTCATCTCTATTAACTCACAAACACGGACATTTCCTTGTGCTGATCGGACACCTCCTTTCGAACAGAATAGCTAGTCATATTCCTGTTATGCCCGCCGTCCAGCGCAGTTGCCCTGAGCACACTCACAGGCAGATGCATTCTATGTATAAGTCGAGCCATTGCTGGGAAAACTTTATGGGCCGCCTGTCAAGGATGTCAATAACTTTCCCTTGCTGACCTAATGGGCCTAAAAACCTGGACCACGACTTTACCTTTTCACAACTGTCTCCTTTCTTGTTGACCATGTTCTATGAACCTTGCTTTTTTTTTTTTTTTTTGGCACAAAATGCTCCAATCTATTTGTGCGGAGCAGCACATGCTGGGAACCAGGGCCAGCATCCCATATAAAAATAGACAAGTATTAAAGCACCGGGGCAATTACCCGGCTTCAGCCGAGAAAAACTGAGAACAACTTGCACCAAGTACTAATGAAACAGCCTTTTTTTTTTTTTTTTTTTTTTTTCCAAAAGGACCTTGTGCAGGGCCTCTATCCCAGTGGTAGTAGGAGAACCACAGGAATTGAGGCTTTGCCTGATGGGCCACTCCATCTATTGGTGGGGAGCATCACCTGCTGGAAAACGGGTCCAGCGTCCCTTGAATACATTAATTTCTGCATGCCATCATTTTGGGAACTCTTGGGCCCTGCCAGCATTGATTGCCCTGGGTCTCAGGGGATTGACTGTGGAGGGCACATATCTTTACGAGAAAATATGTTGTCGGTAGCCTGGGAGGAACAAAGGGGCTAATGGAAGAAAACAGACATCTATGCAGTACTAAATTCAAAGGGCCCTTTTGTTTTTCGAGCCTTGGCTCAAAGGAGAATTCAGACCGAAAAAACCACCTGCCTTGGTGCCTTTCAGCAGCCCAACTCTACCTGCCTCACCCCTAGACCCCGATGCCCAATTTCTACCAAGCCTCACGCCCCCAACTGCTAGGTTACAGAGTGGCACGACCCACTCCTGAACCCCCCCACCTGCTAGGCCACAGGGCAATGCGACCCGCCCCGGCTCCGGCCAGCGTGGACTAGGCACCAGCTCACCAAAAGACACTAGAGTGCCTTCCACCCGTGACAGCTCCCCAGATCTCTCTACCAGGTCTCATGCCCTCGTACAGCTCGAGTTACAGGTCAGCGTGACCAAACCCCAGCACCGACCAGCATCGTTCTGGCCTCGTCTATTCGCAAACCCCCGGGAGTCAGGACTACGGCAGATACCAGTCAAGCCACCAATCAGCGCCATAGCTGTAGATTCGATCATCCATCCTTCAGGCACTAGTTGCAGATATCCCACAAAAAAAACCCTTCTCAGCCCTACTCCGGCAAGTCTTACCGCGATGGAGCCACCATCTCCACCGCTGCTATACCCTATTTCAACCCTGCAGGCTAGCCCCTTCGCCGCAGAGCCCGTCCTCTCCCACCATCACAGCCGCCACAACCCCCTGCCACCGACACCAAGCTCTAGAATAATTTTCTTCTTTTTTGAGAAATTTATGGAAACCGGGGCCATTACCAGGCTTAGGCTAAGAATGACACCTGAGCAATCTACACAAGAAAACAACCCCAAAACTCGGATCAGGCACTGGTTGCAGATATCCCACAAGAATCCCTCTCAGCCCTACTCCGGCAAGTCTTACCGCGATGAAGCCACCATCTCCACCGCTGCTGTACCCTATTTCAGCCCTACAGGCTAGCCCCTTCGCCGCAGGGCGCGTCGTCTCCCACCATCACAACCACCACCACCCCCTGCCTCCAGCACCAAACCATTAAAGAATTTCCATTTAGGAAAAGCAGGAATCCAAAAGATTCAGAATTGAAAATGGATCTCCGGGATGCTTGAAAAGTTTCACCTATCATGATGTAGTAAGAAACACAACACAAGATTTTCATGTCGATGGCATGACACAAACAATAGCATCTCCTCCTTACGATCCCTTTTACGTCCCCCCCCCCCCCCCCCCTCCTCACTCTTCCTCTCATCGCAGCTGTGCGGGACAGATTAAGAGAGTTGAGTGCTCTTATCACCTCCAATAATAGGCTTCCGATGGATGTTTTGACAGAAAAAAGAAAAAAACAAGATTAGTAGAGTTGACTGAATTGCGCACCATGAAGGGAGCACCCATTTTTGTGATGCTGGCCTTGACATGCCATGATACTTAAATAACTACGAACGTCGGCCTTCTTTCTTGCCGGCATGTCAGCAGCATGCCATGTGCCGTCAATGTTTCCAGGAAGCTGTCATAGAAAAAGTATGTCTCTGTTGCATGGACTATCTTCGGTGCCATCACTCTCCACATCTTTTTCTAGCATGTCCTAGTGTTGGGTGGGCATACACTTGTTGCAACGGCAGTCAGATCTCCTTCAAGTTCATCCTTGCCAGACAAACAACAGACACAACAGTCGGAGGAGGAAAACAGACCATCACATCAGTCACCTACAGAGCGCTGTACTATGAGGTTATCACCGCCCGGGCAAGCTGTTGCAGACCAAATCTTGCAACAACTAAACACCCTTACCGTGGATCAGCCCTCGTCGTCACCTGCCCATGGAGAAGGAATAATGGTTGTGGAAACCCAGGAAACTTGCTCTCTGCCACTCTGTGATGGCCCACCCAAATCCGACTAGCATGCGATTCACATGTTTTGTGGCGTGAGGATTATGAAGGCATAGCGAATGCAAGTATTTGTTTTCATATGTATGATGGCAGTCAACGTTACACTCATGTACGGCGGCCTGACATGTCATTTCCAATTTATTGACGGGCTGGAACGACAATGCCTATACAATTGCAGCCGGCGTGCCATGTAGTTGTGACATCTACGTCGTGTCATTCGATGCAGCAACTGCAACTGCGAAAATTGGGTGTGGTGCTTCCACACTCAAAGCCTGAGCCGCTCCTGTCGTGTAGCCGCAGCCCGCGATGCATGACAGACCTTGCTGCTGGGTATCATCCACCATCTGCGGTGGGGGGGACCACTTTCGACACCAACACTCGAGGTGGTAAGAGCATTGGTGTGACGTGCAGAGAAGGGTGTTAAGTCGCCACACCCCAAAGGAGAGAAACTGTGCAGCAACGCTGCGTCTTTTCAGTGACAATGCGTGTCGACTGTCACCGAACATCAACCTGCAACACCCGTCGAGCTAAAAAGGTAACATGAGCAAACGTAAAGAAGGGCGCTCGGTCATCATAGCCCTTGCATGGAAACAGCGGGTGATGGCGCCTGTTCACTCCGATGAGGTACTGGCCTCTATATACCTGCGACTGGCAAAATTGACAGCACACGAGATGACACATCTCATGTACAATAGATCACACCTCAAGTACGGTGCAACAGACACTGTGCACATCGGGGCAACCTCTCCTGTGGATACATTCACGTAGTACTGGCTACCTAAAGGGCATCAGAAGAAATTGTCGATGTTGCCCCTGTAACCTATCATATCGACCACGTTCGGCCCAAACCCTTCACATGTGAGGTCGGATGTGCACCGTCCCACTCTTCAAGGCGCAGGACTGAATCATATACCCAGAGACGCACAAGACAAATCTGGATGTACTGGCATAGTCTTTTCTTATTGATTTGCTTTCTGTTGCACTGCATCACATTGCATTGTATCCCTTCTCATTGCAGATCCTTAGGCTTCAAAGTTCATGAACGTGTTACGCATGGGTATAAGGTTTGAAGGGCTGCTGAAAAGGGCTGGGCTAATAGATCAGGTGTGCTCCAAGACGGGATGGGTGATACTAGCAGCTCCATGGGATAAAGGAGCCCCAGGCTGAGAAGAATACTGAAAAAGGCCAACAAAGAGACAAAATTTTACAAGAAAAAATAAGCAACAAAAAGCAACGGGACCTGAAATTCTCCCACCTACAGGATCCTAAGGCCACACACAGCTCCTTGTTGTCACCCGCTGCCACCCCTAATCGAAACCCTTGAAACGCCGGTGAGACCTAGCCCCGGATGTCCCCCTCACAAAAAGAGGGTTGGTCCTATTGACAGAGATGAGGCAGCACCGGCCAAGCCTGAAATCAGTACCACCAGTACCTCGCCCAGCTATCGATGCCGCCCTCAAATCACTCTGCACGCCCAAACAAAGCAAAGCGGCACGGGCCTCCTTTTGGCTGGTTGTGCCAGCCATATAGGTCCGGCACCAAATGACCCGCATATTTGTTTTTACAAGCTGGGCAAAGTAGGGGTGGTTTAACAAGGACCCAGCTTTTTTGTCGCCCGAAAGGAATCCCCTCTCTAAATTAGGCAAACGGGGCCAAGAAGCAGAGAAACCAGGGGACATGATCTAGGTCATCTAACGACCAAAATCGTTCACCACCCATGATGTGACACTACCCTATTACCCCTGCAGTAGGGTCTCACGTGATGTGACACTACCCTATTACCCCTGCAGCAGGGTCTCACCAACAGGTACAGAGGCCGGGGTCCTCAAAATCACCCGGTTCAGACAATTACTGGGAGCATTACCCAGCTTAGGGCCAGATCCCGCTGGAAAATAGAGGGCCAGATCCCACTAGCCCCTATTGTTCATTTCTGACCATTGATCTTCGTAATCGAGGGTGAAAAATGAGTAATCCAGGGTAGTGGGATCTGACCCTAAGTGTCTGTAACGTGTTCCACGCAGAGATGCAGAAACCCAAATCAATCACAGTTTTTTGGGCCTATCCTCACACACGTCCAGATTCAGACTCTTATTCCAACCCTCTTTCCCAGTGGGATTTGTCCCTTAGCTTGCAGGGAAACCCCTGAAAAGGGCCATGGCCAAATCCCACTGGGTCACCGAACTGCAAAAACATACTCTATCTACAGCCAGCACAGAAACCAGGTGAGTACACAAAAATCACTATGGACTCTATGGAGTTTGACCACTGTGTGAGGAGGGGCATGGGACAAACAAATTTTCCTCGAAAATCGGATGCCGTAAATTCCCGATGCGTGCAAAGAGGCAGATGAATTGTGGCGAAGACGTATTTCGCTCGAAAACGCGGGTACGTACCGGCTTGGTGGCCAACCAGGGAGCCTGCATACCGGACCCGTAATATTGTATTGAATGCTCATTGACAGGTCAAGCGGTCAAAACCCACCACCTCGCGTGCGCGTAGTGAAGAAAGAAGGATGTAAAATGAACGCCACGCATCTGCTTGGCGGCCAAGCAGGGGGCCTGGTTACCGGACCGGTAAGATTGAATTGATTGCTCATTGACAGGTCAAGGGCTCGAATCCCGCTTGGCGTGCGCGTCGTGAAGAAGAAGGATGTGAAATGAACGCCAGGCATCTGTTCCACTGCGGATAAGGGTGGCGGCACTGGCGGGGACTTATCGAGAAGTGGTTTCGGGGAGAAAAAGAAGGCAGGGCGATTGGCGGTAAAGGTCCTGCTTGCCGCTTCACGTGAGTACTACCTATCTCCACGCTATGCATGCATCAATATTAAAATTAAAAATATATAAATGTATAATATAAATAAAAATAAATATACACCCACATTGCACATAAGCATACTACCTACGGAAGTGGGTGTAGGTGACTGCTTGGCCGACTCGGAACGAGCGCGCCAAATCAGATACCGAGGGCCGACAGCCCCGCGCGCAGCGCGGCGGCCTCAGGCAGATCGTTACCAGGGAGTGGCTCTGCTCCGCTGTCCCGCGGTGAGAGCGTTTCCGCTGTCCCTTCTTCGCCTCCTTCTTGTCCCTTCGCTTCTTCCCGATCTCTCCCGCCCCACTGGCCCTTCTTCCCCACCTCCCCCTATTCCGCCCCCGCCCTTTCCCTCTGTACCTTCCTTCGAAGCATCCTTGCCCTGCAATCCACTCCTTCGATCCATTCTCCGCTCTTCCTCCCTTTGTGCCATCCCCTGTCCAATCCTCCATCTCATCGCTTCCCGCTCGATTGAACATGTACTCTGTGTGTGTGTGTGTGTGTGTGTGTGTGTGTGTGTGTGTGTGTGTGTGTGTATTATCATATCCGCTATAGACTGACAACGCATGATTGTGCCCGACTGTTTGGTCGGACTTTCACCGACTCATCAGAGGTTGAACCCCGACAGTCAGTCTGCCCAGGATGCATTTGACTGATGGATACGGAAGCAGTCACCACATCGCCCCACATAGCCCAGAGTTAGCAATACGCTTTTGAGAGAGAAAAGTGGTCGACTTGGTACTCACACCACCAACCCTGCAATCCTAGCAGCCTGTCTGTCTAAACCCCTGACAATGTATATATATCTATATCTATATATATCGTCACAAACAGAACTGCCCGGTAAACCGTAGATATATGTGTGTGTGTGTGTGTGTGTGTGTGTGTGTGTGTGTGTGTGTGTGCGTGTGTGTGTGTGTGTGTGTTCCTCCCTTCAGCTCTGCAACGTAAGTTGTTACTTTTGGGATAGAAAGGGAGGGGAAAAAAGGGGAAACAATGGTGGGAAACATTGGAAAAAGCATTTTTCTGTTACATTACGATGTGAATTTCCGTCGGACTGGCCGTTCAGCCTGCGAATCACGAGTTAAGGAGAAGGGTGGAGAGTAGGGGCAGCCTGGGGGAGAGGGGGCGGGGATGACAGTCGGACTGGCCGGTCAGCCTGCGAATCACAAGTTAAGGAGAAAGGTGGAGAGTGGGGGGAGCCTGGGGGAGAGGGGGCGGGGATGAAGGGGGGGTAGCAGGGAAGCCAGGGCGCCGGGGAGAAGCTGAGGGGTCAACAATCCAGAAATTTTGGACTAGGTATCATTAGTGGGCTTTTCCTGCATCTGGTCCTCCTCCCTTCCACTTCCCATGCCATCCCCACTACCCCCCGGTTTGCCTCCCACCCTCCCGGCCCTCTCCGTATTTCTCATCAACCCTAGCAAAGGGGATAATTGGTGAGAAGGGGAAGTAATCAGGACACATAAATTGGCGGGAAGAGACAGAGCGAGGAGGAGGAGGAGGTGCTGAAGCTGGGAGGGGATGATGCCCATCAATCCACGTACCAGTGCGCGCCGGCACAACTCCTGAGAGAAATGCGCGCTCGTTAGCAGTCCCCAGGAGTTGCACTCCGGCCTCTTTTTTTTTTTTTTTTTTTTGCCTCTTTTGTGAAGAGTTATCCGTTTGTCCTTTTTGGTTTTACAGGAAAAAAATCGTCTTGTTTATTAAAGTATCAGAATTTTTGAATTGTGTGGTTTTGAAGGCATTGTTGAAATTTTATTTCCCGGGGATGCGGAATGTCAGGACAGCGGCCCAGTGTTGGCCTTAATTCTGTTTGCCTGGACACACCCCATCGCCTGCACCTAAGCTGGGTAATGGTCCCATATTTTTTTTTCTCCGGGTTGTTTGTGGAGGTTTTCCCGGCCTTCGGATTTGGTGTTAATAGAATGAGCTGAGTTTTTCTGTAAAAAAAAAAAGAAAAGAAGAAGAAGAAGAAGTATCAGAATGCCGGTGACAAAACAAAACTGAAAAACACCTGTGAAACATCGCTGGCTCCTGATTCCTTCCCCTTTCTCAAACTCGAGAGTCAAGACCAAAAATGAGCTCCCTTCGCCTTCTCTCGCGTGCGAATGCGGATGACAGTTCGCGCACGCGTTGCCATGTTCTCTATTACACAACTCCAGAATAAAAACCATGACTGTGCCTAACCTTCACCGACTCATCGGGAGGTCGTGTGTGTGTGTGTGTGTGTGTGTGTGTGTGTGTGTTGTTCAAAAAGACCCCAGATTCTCTCTCTCATTCCCTTCACAAATCATCACAAGCCATCCATAACGAAAAAAGTATAGATAGGCAATATAATAGAAAATGCAAGGTTGGCCACGTTTGTGTGGTTCAGCGCCAAGTGTGTGTGTGTGTGTGTGTGTGTGTTTGTGTGCGTGTGTGTGTGTGTGTGTGTGTGTGTGTGTG